TCACTGGTATTTACAGCAAATCCTGCTTGTTTGCCTCTAACATGACTTGGGCTAGCCGGCGGAAAATTCTTTGATTTTTGCACCCTATGTCGGTTTATAGGGAGCAACTCTTGCAACATGACCATGTTTGTCTGGACTGGTAGAAAACTGCAAAAAAACCTGCAGTTTTTTTGTGTTTTGGGATGTCTTACCATTGACTCATCAAGCGCGCACAGAACAAGTCAATTAGAAGATATAAATGAACATAAATGAACATCAAATAGAAGATATTGGTTTTAATTATTTGGTGGGTGAATGTTTACACAAAATTAATTAAGTAATATATCTTCTATTTGAACTTGTTCCCTGTTTTATGCTGAATTGCGCTCAGTTTTTCCAACTGCAAGCAATCTCTTTGTATATAATTGGTAATGCTTTGTTAGCATTGACCCCAGGCCTGCCAAATCCTCAGGCAGGTTAACCGTCAAGGAAACACCAGCGCAAGAGCATGTCGTCTTGCACGCTGGAGAAGCGGCTGGGAAATCCTGTAGAAGACCAAACACTAGGGTTTGATGTGGGATTGTGGATTTGACCAGACAAAAACAATATTATATATACACACATATCATCACATATCTCTGATCTAAATGCTTTCTCCCACTCAGAGATCTTCGGTTGGGGCTCCCAGTCTAAGTAGCAAGCACTTCATTTGCTCCATCACTATTTCCTAACGCAGCGTAATTGGTAATGCTTTAAAGCATTGGGTCCCAAGCCTACCCATTCCTCAAGCAGGCAAACATGCAGGAAACACTGGCGCAAGAGCATGTCGTCTTGTACGCTGGAGCAGAGTGAACTTAAAAGGTAATTAATTACTAGAGCATGTGGGACTGGGAAATCCTGCAAAATTGTGAAGACCAAGTCCTGAGTCCATGAAAACATTTCACAAATGCCTTGTATATATATATATAACCCCTTGCAAGTTCTACAAATATCTACAAATAGGCTCCCAGTCTACGTGGCGGCAGATTCTTCATCTACCAAGTGCTCGATGTAGTCCTTCAAAGGCATCTCGTGAACTGAAACGGTTTCCGCTGCAGCTCCTAGCGCTGACTGGTGGGACTGCCACAGAAAGATCAAAACTTGGAGTAGAGCTTTCTTCTCAGAGCGCAGCCCTGCATTGAAGCTGCGGCCACAATTGGGGAACCCAGGATATAGTGCCAACCATTGTCCGTTCCTTTGCAGAGAACCCCTGCAACCCAGTCAAATAGAAGAAATTAATAAAAATACAATGCCACAATCCAAACCAAAACTGTCTAAATAGTAGTGAGCTGAAAGGCCGATTGTAGCAAAGCCCACAGTTCAGCACTCCCATGATCCGTGGCGTATCTGCTAAGCCTTGCTGCTGCAAATCCTCCCAAGCCGTGGAGTGAATGTACTGGACCTGCTTTCCTTGAACAAAGGCAATGGTTCAGAGGATGGATCAAATATAGCGGCGAGAAAATCCCTCAATGGTAAATAGAAGAAATATGTAGCAATATCTTCTATATGTGTGGTCGTTTGGAAAGTTAGGTCTGGTGGAAATAGCGGACTATATATATATATATGTAACATAGTTTGCAAAATTTTGCCCAATCAGATTTGTTTGTGTGACCAAGGTGCCAGTTGGCTGCGAGGAAGTGCAAGCTTGAACCCCCTCCTCCACTAGCTCAATGTCATGAGAGACAGCGATCAAATTGCCGGCCTCATCAATCTTCACCGTCATGTCGCCCGCACCCTCCAAATCCTCCCCGCCGTTCATATGTTGGTCGTCATGATGGCCAATGGAAGGAGAATAGAGTTCCTGTGAATCTGTGTCCTTTTGCTCATCTCCCGCAAAAAGCTCTTGAACCATATCAGACATAGCATCCGATAGAGTCTCCACAACAGGAATTAGCATACCGTTGGCAGCAAGTTCCTCCATGTAGTTCTGCTCAGCATTAGCTTTTTCTTCCTCCTCGACTGGGGAATCCTGGCTGTTGTATACTTCCATTCCTGGATTGTGTGCTTTGAGGTTGGTCCATAAGCAGGAAAGAGTAGGGGAATAACAATATGAATTTTTATAGCTATGCATTATGTATATAGTTATATGGCTACCGGATTATCTTCTATTTGACTCTTCTTGGGAGCGGAACTCTATCCCTCTCTTCTGTGGGATATGCGAGCCAGAATTTTCAAATAGAAGAAAATACCACATTGGCTGGTAAAATTGCAAAAATGTTTGTTTGCTTGTTTGTTTTGACCTTGCCTGGAACTCTCACCGACTCCAAGAATGACTTGTCCACTTTCAATTCAAGGCCATCAAATTTGGTCTCGACTTCAAGGACCCGCAAAGGTGACCAGTCTAGCCCACCAATCTTGACTTTCTTCTCAAGGAAGTCAAACAAAATGATGGTCGATCGCGCGCCATCCTGCTGCGAATTTAAACAGGCACCTATGGAAGTGTGTATATATATATACATCTTATATATCTTCTATTTGATAGGCATTACTCTTTTCTATTTGGAAACCCAATAGGACCCTCAAACCTCTGTCGGCATCCCACCTTGAGTTTCATGGTGCCGTCAGAACACTTCTGCAGGTGAGCTTTCACATATTTCTGGGTTGCTGGAACACCCGTGCCATTCATAAGGACCAATGGGCGTAGAGAGTTGCCCACAATGGTGTCATACTTGCGCTGTGTGATCTCATGGATCTCTAACCGCTTCTTAGCGGCATATACATCTCCCTGGTATTGGGCATAGTTTTTGTCAGCATGTTGCTGCATGAGGATGGGTAGGCTCAGCCAGTTGCTGTCATTCTGCGGATCTTGCACCTGCCATACGTGGATAGTTCGCCCTGGGCATGCCTCCCGTACTGAGTCGGCGATGGTAGGCCTAACAATGAAATAGTATGAAAGTGAAAGTAAAGAAGGTCAACCTTAAAGCACCAAAATGTTTCACTGACCCTGGCGATCGGAATAAGCACATTTGTCAAGTCAAATAGAAGAAATGTTTCCAATTTCGATGAGAATCGGAACCAATGCTGGAATTTCAGGGACCATCTGCTTGAATGGACTAGGGCTTGTTTCTCCAAGTTCATTCTTCTCCTCCTCATTGAGTTTGGGATGAAGCTCTTTCATCTCATCTGGTGTGACCAATCCACGACTGGTCCAGCTCCACCGGAGGAGCCGCTTGTAGTTGGCCATCTCCTGCCATGAGTAGATCAAAGCCTTAACATTCTCCTCCACACCGACGCTGAGATGCTTTTGGCCGTTCAGCCCCAGATGAATTGGCCGCGATGCTTGTTCCAAACCTGGATCTCGATAACCTGCCGGAAGGACTTTCTCATCCTAATGTTGCTTGCAAACTATAATACCGAGATCCGCCCAGTCCCGATCCCTCTCGGCCCCTGGAAATATTCCAGAAATATCTTCTATTTGAGTTTCTGATTTCAAAGCAAACATGGGGACTGAGTAGACTAGGTAACTATATTCAACAATATCTTCTATTTGACTTTACAATGAAGTTCTGAAAGTGATGGTTAAAACATCTTACACAATTATATATCTATATAATTCCTCCAGATGATTTTACCCTCCTGGCCTAAGGCTTGGTCAATCCACAGGTTTGCTAGCTTCCTTACCATGAAATGCATTGCATCACATGGTTGTCCATGACAGCTCCACCCGCCAGGTGGTTTGAGTGGAAGGATCACATTGTTGTGCTTGGACCACAAAGATCGCCTGGAATCCTGGTTGTCCAGGGTAGCATAATTTCCTGTAAACCCATCGGCGATGAGCAAACCAGGGATGTCTCTGCTATAGCCACACTCTGCGCGTCTCAGCTCGAAACCCTTTTTACTATGTCTAGGCTTTCTGAACAAAAAACCTATGTAGATATATAGAAGAAACCATAAGATTATCTATTTACCCTACAGTTTTATACGCCCCCCTGAGAAAACACACAAGGAACACAATGATGCTTTTATACTCAACACCCTCCAAGAAACAGGACCCAACAGCTCTTGCATGTACAGCAATGTGCTCTCTGCATTCATGAAGTGGGTCTCGGTTCCACTCTCGAAAATGAAAACACGTCCTTTGTAACTGCTGTTGTAATCCTGGATAACTGATCGCGGAAGAGCACCTGTGGTCAAGCAGACCCCTAAAGGGCCAATTGTTCCATCCCCCCACGTGGCCGTGACAGCCGTGACACCAACTCTGCCACCCACGACAAATTCTGATCGTGCAGCTGCCTTTCGAAGTTTGGAGGCTTTAGGTGCTTGCCCCATCCTTGAGGTCATCTCATTTTCTGCAAGCTTCAGCACAGCCTGCAGCCGTTTCCCAATCAAATCATCAGGTCTTACCTCCATAAATTGATCACCCTCTCGTGTGGCCTGCTTGGCGGACCTTTTGTGTAAGACTTTTGATGGAGCTTCGAATGATGAACGCCAGAGCTGGTCAAAGTTCAAGACCATCTGCCAGGGCACACCCTCGATGACGCGCTGCGAGCGATGTGCACGTCGCATTTCATTCATTTCAGTGCTTTCATCCGGCAAGAACTGGCCTTTGGTGTTGCTGGTCAAAAAGCTCCACTGCCACTTGTAGAGAAACCGGTAGACCCACCGATTGTCTATGTCTTTCACCCGCATTTTTTCCGGCTCGAGGTTGCGCTCCTGGTGGAACTATCAAATGTATCCATTATCTTCTATTTAACTTTCTTGGTTGGGACTTCGGTCCTTATCTGCCTTGAAGATTTCTACTATATATATATGTACAATATCTTCTATTTGGTTTTGCAATGAAAAGCCCAAAGTGACTCTTTATATAATGTATAAAGCCTTCTCCCACCTCTCCTATATGTGCTTCATTCTACCCTAGAATTTGTCAATCACATGAAGTTGTAAACCCCTACAATGCAAAGCACCCTTGAACTCAAGCCGGAACTTTCCGCTCCTGGCCTGACATACCTCAGCGTAGGCTGCCTTCCATTTTTGATAGATGTGCTGCGCAGTTTCCACCAAAACATTCATCTTCAGGTTGGTAACGGACTGTAGGTCACGTGTGAACCCAGCTAGCATCCTTTCCAAGCAGTCATTAAATGCGGCCTCCACTTCCTGTGGCACTCGACTTGCATGTCCATGCCGGCATCTGGCAGGAAGGCTCATTGCACGGCGAAGCCAGTCTGGGAGTTGCTTTATTTGCGCTCTGTCTTTGACGGTCATGAGTGACCAAGGAATCTTCTCGTGAGACTCAGCATCATAGGTCCTGGGCGCTAAGACAATGGTTTTTCTCCAATATCCAGATCATAGAGAAGATATATATATATATTGTAATGGCACAACGAAACTGTTGTTGCTAACAATGATCCTTTGCACATACAAATAGAAGATATTCTTTAACGGTGCAGGAAAAGAAAAGTTGCTACCCCAGGCCCTTTCCCAAAACACGATTTTGCAATGTTAAGTTTAGTGGCTTAATCCATTTGCTCAGTAGGCTACTTTTCCACCCATTAGTCTCGCAGCTGTAGAAGTATTTCTTGAAGCGGACCATGACCTCTTTCTCGATGCTCTGGACACTCTCATCCTTTTCAAGCTTTTTCGCGCACTCAACCACCAAGCATTTGACGTAGAGGGGTATTGTCACGCACTTGTTTCGCTTTGATGAGGTTTCCTGCTCCAGATCTCCAAATGGGTCTGTCTCTGGGAAACCAGTTTCACCTTCTTTTTCCTCATCTGCTCTCTGAATGCCCTCATCCTCAGCCTCCGGCTCTTTCCTGCCCGTGGCCTTGCCTTTGGGAGTCTTCTTGCGACGGGTCTTCTTGGAAGCGTCCTCTCCATCAGCCTCTGTTTTCTTGTTTGTGGACCCAAAGGGTCTTCCACGAGGCCTCCGAGCCGGGCCAGCTGTCAGCAAATCTTGCTGAATCTGGTCTTGCTCTCCTTCTGCCCTTCGCAGGAAACTTGCAAGCTGAGAAAAATTTAAGCATGCTGTAGAGCCTTCCTCAGCGCTAACCCCGCACTCCGTCAGCAAGTCTGACAAACCAGGGTTGGCACTTGCCAACTCCAAGGCCTTGGTTCGGAACTCCTTTGAAGCTTTTTCCGGCTCCTGAAAACAGAGATCCATGGATTCAAGGAGCCAGTCTTTCAATTGCTTGATAGCTGCAAGAGTTTCCTGGACAGTCTGAATTCCATGAGGCCGTTGTGGCAGTCTAGGAGCAGAATCACCTGTCTCAGCTGACTGGGAGTTCTGTCCCGCAGAGTCAGACTCCCGCTTTGATGCCCTCGCGGTGGCCGATGCTTTGACAGCAGTTTCAATCCTTGGGAACGGCCAGCAAAAGTGTTTGATGTTGACAAAAAGGAGAACAATCAATATATCTTCTATTTGATTGGCAGGGCCATTGCACTCACTAGGACTAAATATATACCACATATAAATATATATATATGTATATATCTTCTATTTGCCCGGTACAGCCATTGCATTTCAAAAAAACAACCTGCTGGCAATTTATTGGGGATTCAAAGGGGAATAAAGATCCTGCTGTATCCTGGAAGTCGAGAGGCTCTGGCACCATATTCTCATCGAAAAGAAGAAGTCGACTTCTTTTACCACTGTAGTGGATGTAATAGGGCACATCCTCCACAGCTTCCTCATTTCCAATGGAATGTTCATGAGGCACCTGAGCTTGTCTGCGGAGGAGCATGATGACTCATCAGCGGGAGGTCTCCAGCTCGGACGGTTTGTTGGGGGAAGTCTCCCAAAGTTTAAAAGACCCAAAGAGGAATGTCAGATAGAAGATATTGGGCAACACATTGTGAATAACAAGGAATCTTTAGGAAATCCAGCAATTTTCACACTTTCCACCAGCAGGCGCAACAGACACAGGTGTCCCCCTGCTGTTTACAGGCATGTCCATTGGCTTCCAATTATATATCTCCAATTATCTTGTAAGGTGAGGGTTGTCTCCAAACCCCGGTGCTCCCCACATAAAGTCTCTCGGCCTGGCCAAATTTGATTTTTGATTTGGTATATCTTCTATTTGACCGGGGCGCCTGCCATTGCTCGTGCTTGCATTCACAAACTGCCTTGATGCCCTCCGGACTCAACCTCATACAACGGAGCTTCTTGTCAGAGTCAACAACCAATCCATAGGCCATTGGGCACAGCTGTTGGAGGTAATACATCATGTGGGCATCTGTGCTGCTGAAAAATGCCTCAAAAGTTGGGTGGGAGTGTATCCACCCGACGACAACCATCCCAGTGTCCTCAAGGTGTTTCTGCAACTTCTCTCCCACACTTCCACCTGCTTCCCAAACACTGGTCATGTTTGAGTCTTGCATTGGGAAGTACAATCCACCAGCATAAGAGATTGACTTTTTGGTTTTTGAATCTTCCTGGTGAGTACCGAGGATCCAGGCCATGTATTCATTCGGGCTGTGGTTGAAAGCATGTTCGATGAATCGTTTCAGCAAATTGCTGGGAAACTGGATCTCCCGCAGTTTTTCCTCCTCCAATTGTGCCTTGCTCTTGACTGTCCGAGACTCATCAGGCTTGAACAGCTCACTGAATTCCAAGACCTTTTCTTTTCCCGCAGACATGTTTCCCTTAGGTCCGGCATTCCTGAGGGTGTCCAAGGTAGCTGCACTTTTTTGCATAAGAGCTTGGTCTGCTGGAACTTCATGCGGTTCAACCTTCTCAAAATAGATCCCAAACACTTGGGCGCATTCCGTTCCAAATATGTCATCCCAGTCTTTCCCGGTGGGCGCACCACGCTCTTGGGCACTCTCCTTGTCCATCTTCTCTAGCTTCAGAATCTTCTTGGGTTGTAATCGGGTTCGAGGGTTGTAGCCTTGGCAAATGCTGAGGTAGACCACTGTAGAAATGGAGTATCTTCAAATATCTTCTATTTGACTTGACTCTACCGTCATGTATCAATTAATAAATGTGAAAAAAGTCATTGACAATGTACATATATTATATATACATACACATTCTTTTTAATTGATGCGAGGTTCCCTTCTGAAACAGCACGTGTGTCGCCCCCTTCAATCGCACTTCCCAGTGCTTGGTCTGCCTAAACTCCCAGCATTTCCGGCCCGAGACAATCTCTGTGTAGTACACAGCTGACAACGGCAAAACCACGTGCTTTTCTTTCTTCTCCTGCCGGCCAGGTAGGCATAAGAGGAAATGTATATATAATGTGCCACCCAGGATATGTGACCTCCCCTCTACACATGTCACATCAAATAGAAGATATCACCTCTGAATCTGAATCTTGATTTTTTTCTCTCTCTCTCTCTCTCTCTCTCCCCATCCCTCTCTCTCCTCTCTCCTGACTCTCTTGTTTTTCAGCTGAGCGGAGGCCACGCGATCCCTTTGTGATGAGATCAACCTATATATATATAACCGTCTTTATAGATAGACTGCTGCTCAGTTTCATAGTGAACGCGCGCCGGTCAACGGCCACTCAGATATCAGGAGCTTGTACCTGGTCAACTATAGCAAGAGCTTACTCCTCAATGGCAAATAGAAGAAATATGTAACAATATCTTCTATATGTTTAGTTGTTTGGATACTTGGATTTGGTAAAAATAGCTGACTAATGAAACTCCAAAACCATGGTGCTGCCCCAGTTGTTGATGTTTCCAAGGTCACACGAACAAAGTAAAGATTGATGACTCCGCTTCTGAAGTTGGGGCGCAGGCAAAGCTTCGATGCTTCGTATCACCTGAGGCATTCGAGGGAACCACCATCAACTGAGGTCATTATACAATATCTTCTATTTGAATTGCATCAAAGCACTGTATGTCATTCACCTAGGATCTTCTTTGGTATTATTCACCTAGGATCTTCGTTTAATTATATATTTGTAGGATATACTGTATGTTCCAAGAGTTGTATATGAAAGTGCTCTGTACTGCTGAGATAATCTCCTGATTTTCCCCAGAGATCCAACTGTGTGCAGGTTCATTATGTTCCAGCTGTGGGAACAATAAGCACGCGGTCACCACTGTCCGGATGAACTACAGGATCAGGCTCACTCAGGCTGAGGCTGAGAAGACTGCCTATTGTCCCCAATTCATCTGAAGCAACCGTAGGGCAGCCGCTGCAACTTGACCCGACATAGAAGTCTGCATCAAGACAGTGAGTTTGGGGCTCATCGGATTCTTCTGGGACAAGCTTCACATATACACCTTGCATAATCAGCCTGATGGGGTCATAGGGTTCTACGGGCCCCGATGAGCCCGATGGAACTTGAAAGATGAATCCACTGGAAGTTGCGCCCGATTGCCCCAAGATCGTGGCAGATTCAGTTGAGGCAGAGCTTAGCATTTCCCAAGAATCACTTTGCTCACAATATTCATGGTCGCTTTGAGTTGAGTGACTCCAGCAGCTACCCCCACGAGGGCTGGAGCCCTGGGATTCAAATCCACTCGCAAGGGAAACTGCCTCAGACTCTGAATGGTCGTTTGTCAGATTGGCCTCCGAATCGATTGGATGGGGATGTTCCTTTGCATCTATCTTCCTGCACTTGCACAAATGCTCTTCCTCCAGAGAATTGGCCATGGCAATGAACCGCGTGGGAACTACACAAGTGCTACTCTGCGATAGCCACTTGATAGGAGAAATGCATTTCAAATAAATTGATCATGGGCAATATATATATATAT